AAGCGAGAGCCCCAGGCTGAGAAGGGATCGCCCGTCACCCGTGCAATTGTTGCACAAGTTGACGTTGTTTGGTATCTTGCTCTGATGTTTCCCGATGGACAGACCGACTCGGAAAACGATCACCACTCAAAATGCGCAGCTGTTTGGATTATAATGGTTTGCATGTGTGGGGCGCTACGGCGAGAGCCACATGTTGCAAGCGGCCCGTCCTCCGTAGGTGGAAAGCGACTGTGCGTGGCGCTTAGGCGAGAGCCATGTCGAGAATTGCCCACCCTTCGTCCTGGTAGCGGCTGGGACCCTTTGGAGTCGAGAGACGCGTTTTGAACACTACCCGCACTCAATTTTTGTAGTTGTGAGATCGGCAAGCTCCAGGTCCATAGTTCATTATTGAAGTCCCTGGTGCAACGCCAGGCCTGCCTTATCAACACGTCAGGGAGGGCGACGAGGAGGAATCCTTCATATGATGAGCGCCCGTTCTGCCCTCGCCCTCGCCCTCTCCTCGATTCCTCCCTCCTCGTCCTCCCTCCTCCCCCCGTGGCCCTCATCCGAATGACCCCTCCTCTGCCCCTCTCGTCCAGTTTCCCCCCTCTTCCCCACGTGCTCCCCCGCTCCAATCGGCCGTGCCCCCTTACCACGTCCTCATCCTTACCGTTGTTATGCTTCTCTTCCTTTCTGCCCTCTCGGCGGGCCCGTCCTACAGCGAGCACCATGAAAGAAGCACTGCTCCTGGCTCGGAAGCTGTGCGATGGCTCATGCTGTGTTGATTGGCCCCCTCAGTGTTTGTCTTCATCTGCTGGCCCTCGTTGTATTCCGTCAGATTTGGGTGTACAGGGCATATCTAGTTTTCCGCCAGGACGGTCTGAAACCATGAACGTCACAGGAAACGAGCATAGCCATTAGTTACGAAGCCCACTGTCGACGGCGAAGCTTCTCCCCTGCTCTACCTCATATCAGTTACGGCGAGACGCTCATCGTGGATGCGCGTTTGCGCATCAGTTCCTGCGGCCTTTGAGTGTGGAGAATCTCGGCGATAGATTCCGTGCAGACGCCCCCTGTGTTGGCCTCTCAAGGCGCTTTCCCCGTCCTTAACATCTGGCTCTACCCTTCTCTACCCGCATCTTCTCTCGCTCTCCATGCGAGCAAGATTTGAATCCATATCCGCTGCGTCTTGGACTTTCTGGGAAGGGGTGCCAAAGAAGGGGTGCCAAAAAAGGCCGAGGCGCCGTGCACATGGATACGAATCCATCCTCTGGGGGCCAGATGCTTATCCATGTCCACTGCGCCTCGGGCGTCTTGGTAAGGCCGCCCGAACTTTAAGTTGGGCGTGTCCTTCTACAGGGGGAATATTCAAAAAAATAGGAAAACAAACAAAAAAGGTATGCGAACAATGTGTTGGACTTTTGTTCAACTGTTTTTAATTATTTGTTTAAGGAATTTCAATTGTTCTACCGAACTCCGCCTGTAGGGGGACATGCCCGACCTGACCCGAACTCCAAGATGCAGCGGATATGGATTTATAGTCAACCCGCATAGTGAGGATGGGCAACCTTCCCAAGGGCACCCTTGCATCCCGGCCTCCTCGGTCCATCCCTGGCCACGTTGGCCGCGCCCGGCCCGGAAAGCTTCGAGACGACCCCCCAAGGCTTTTGTAACCTTTTATCGTGCGTCCTCATTCGAAGCAGGAAAAACGCCATAAACATCCATTTTCGGCCTTCCGCGCGGATTTCTTGGATCCGCGTCGGGGCCCCCCGGCGACGCCTCCTGCGCCGCCCCCGACGCGCTCCGCGCGCCAGGGAGGGGGCCCCAGCGCAGATCCAAGAAATCCGCGCGGAGCGCCAAAAGTTTATGTTATGGCGTTTTGCTCTCTTCTACTTATGATACGGGTCGACTGTACCTTTAAGTCGTGCCTGTCCCTCTACAGGAAGGATATCCCAAAATAATCAAAAAGTAGTATGGAGACGATGCTTCTGCTTTGCATTAAAAATATGTCGTCGCATGTTTTGAAGACCTGTCATCCCAAATCCGGCTGTAGGGGGACAAGCCCGACCTAACTGTACCTCTTGCCCGCACTCCGCCCCGTCTCGCCAACGGCCTGGCGGTCGCAGACAACCTGCGGCCAATCCCGCCCTCGCCGCGCCGCCGCGGCGCCCTTTTGGCGCCGCTGCTCCTCCCTCCTCTTTCTCCTCCCTCCTCGCAGCTCCCCTCCGCCGACGTCCGGACCCACGGCTCGACAGGAGGCAGGGCTCCCCTGCCGGCGAGGCCCGGGGGCCACGCCTCCGTGGAGGCGGGCCCCGTCGCCTCGGGGGGCCCCCACAGCCCAGAGGTGGTGACGGGGGGCACGCGTCCGTGTCTTAACCCGGGGGTCGGCACGCCTGGTCGGTGGGCGAAGTCGACAGACCCCCAAAGGCCTTGTCCTTATCGTCCTCCTCCTCCTCCTCCTCCTCCTCCTCTTCTTCCTCCTCCTCCACGATCTCCTCCTCCTCCTCCTCCTCCAAGATCT